CCTCGGGTTACCATGAAAAGTATTCTTCCTCTCCCAGAAATGGAATGTCAATCCGTTGTGGTAGCGCTGAAGAAGGAAATCGCGCTTCATTGTAATGACGAAGAATTGGAAACGCTCTTATTGCTGAAGCACAGGTGCACCGTCAGTACTGTTTATTGTTGCCTGATCCTCAGTTTCACATTTAAGGCACCTTATTTCATTGATAGACTTCGCCTCCTACGGCCCTCGTGGTCCTACGATCCTTCGCTATCAAACGCACGATACCATTTCTCTCTATGAGACATTACAGAAAGAGTCATTCATCAAGACAACAGACACTATCAAGTGGATATACCAGGTTAGTTAGATTGAGCTCTACTGAGGGAAATCCACATGGATATAATTTAGGCTGCTTCATTGGCCTACTATCTAGCTCTTCAAGGCTGTTTTCTTTCGATTCTATGTGCACAGGTAAAATATCATTAGCAGAATCCAACCTTGTATAGTGAAGGGCTCACTGAGTCCGTTTAGCATTGTAGGATTGCTATTTGGATGCCGGATCTAACCTAAGATTCCGCGGAGCATGGAAAAGTTCTTGGCCAAGTTGGCAAGAGGACACCCTTGGTCACGCGTTTTACTGGAGGTGAGATGCTCCGCTCCTTTTTCTCTACTTCAGTCGGAACCAGAAAGATGATGAATCTGCAATGCCTCTTGGTTTACCGATAGACGGTTTTCCTACAACTTGTCTCGTTCCTTGTGACCCATTTTGTTATTATATCTACATTTGGATAGCAAGCATATCTTTCCTAGAATTTTCTCGTTTTTTTTCGCCGCCAATGCACTATTCTCCAACCACGCTTTCGTGTGTCCACTAATATTATGTAAGCAACTCAGCGGATGTCGTAAGACTATGTTTCCCTAGCTTTTCTCAAATGAGTGGTGTAAGTGCGATGCCGCAGTAATTGAAAGCGTTTTCAGGATAAAAACCCGCATATTCTTGGTATGTCTCATAGTAATGACACATAGGAACGAAATGTGTAAAATGGTGTTGAAGTAACTTCTGCTGAGGCAAATCAAAACCACGCCATTCTCGTCTTGTCTTTTTTCCTACATGAGTGGAGTTTGATAGAATCTTACTGAGCCTCGGTCTCTCTACCAGAGAGAGCGGGAGGATGCCACGCCCATCGACCGATGGTGTGTCAAATGAGTGTTGAGGCGGTACAGATTGCAATTATCGCGCCGGGACTCACACTTCCAGCACGCAATCAACTGATTGCCAAATGATGAGGCATACTTTGTTTTTCTCCCTTTCTATTATTCTCAGTTACTCTTGCTGTGATCCTTACACTAATTACCTGAAAAGACTGAGAAAGATGAGCTATTACTGGTGTTACCAGGTTTTCGTAAACTTATGCTTATGAGTGAATGCATTTTGAAGGGCATTCTTACTCACTGTGGTCAGATATTCGCATCAGGACCCACACGTAAGCAATGACACCATTGTATAGCTCGTCCGAACACCCATTCTACTTCATTTTTCTAGTCTCATTTTCGTCTAGCCCCTTTTTTTGACAAGTTTTGCAAAGCCTTTTACCACTTTGGAAACACCGATTCGCGTCCTTCTTCGCCTTCAACGCACTATTTTCCATCTTCCCTTTCATTTTTTGCCTTAATTTGGATAACCCAAAATTATCGCAAACAGTGCCTTTGAATACCCAGAGTAGAGCAAAAAAGGCGAAGGAAACGCGGAAATTGAAGTATTCAGAGAATTATATGCCTCAAAAAAAGTAAAATTAGGAGTTTGACGAAAATGTAGCGGCAATTGGATGGAAAATGGAAGGGTAATTATTTGCTTACTTGTTTATTTGCTAGTCTGTACCGTATTATCCTGGCGTGAGTGCGAATCTTCACTGCCATGTGGCGTTCTCCGACGTTGAAAATGTCAGGGTTTTATGTGCTCGTAAGGTACAATAGAAATACGAGCTAAGGAACAAAACACTGAAAATGGACAATCATTGACCATCACTCTTCACGATATAGCATGGCATCGAACGATTACTTTGTCAAAACTCTGAGGTAACACGATCGCCGCTGCCTCATTGTTTGTATAATAGCAAGACCCTTCACATGGCGTCTTAGTTTGAACTCGCTGTGCCCATCCACCTAATTCCGAGTTTCTCTTTA